TAGACAGTCGCAGTCCGGATGCTGGTCAGCATAATGTGCACCGTTATTCAGTGATATGGAGGAACTGAATGGAGAAAATAGCGGTCAATAGCTAATTCCTGGATTGACTGTAGTGTAATCAAACGCATTGAACCTTGATACATCCATGCAGCTAACGTATCTCTCCTCCGGCTATTATAGACAGATGACATAGGTCACACATGGCTCCATCTATCGCATGTCAATAAAAGGAGAGAGGGCTATAGCACATTTTCCTGTGGAAGGACTGAACTGTGAAGAAATCCCAATTAAAGCTTCTGGAAAACTTTCACATGTTTAGGTCATGCAGGATAGCCATTTGTAAAGTGTCAATCAATTTCCTTGCTTTTACCCGCTGTTCCTTCAACCAGGTAATCAAACAGCAGAGATGTAAAGTGGTGGCCATTGTCAACAGGGAATAAATTACCAAAGCATGAAGAGAAAACATCTTATCTGTCTGATGTATTTCCTGCTTCTGCAGAAAGCTACAAAGCCCAAGGGAGAGCAGTCAACCAAAATGCAGGGAGATGGAGATTAGGATGATGTGCAGTTCCTTGTTCCATTAAAGTTTGATCTTCCTCAATAGCCGAGGAGAATCAGATATCTCCCATTCAAGATTAAAGTACACCAGCATAGAGGGAGAGATTAATCAGAGGCCTGCATGAGATAAAAACAGCCTTGCTTCTGGCATGGAAAACAGTGGCAATAAAGAGTTCAGCTGATAATGTGAAACATGGCGAGGCACAATAGCAAATCAAACAGCATGTACGGGCCTCCAAAACAAATCAAAGCGCCGACTAGACTGCGATCCGGTGGCTGAAGAAGTACAGCAGGGGCTGATCTGATAGTAACCAAGGCCTTCATTTTATTACTGGTTAAGGTTGAAGAGGGCACGCTGAGGATTTTCCCATGTTGCTCACTGTCGCCAGGCTCTCATTCCCTCTCCTCCTCCTCTCCTTGAGATCAATGGCGCTGGGGTGATTTCACAGCAGCCTGCACTGTCACCCAGAACAAATCAATGTGACCATGAGGAAGGCAAGAGCGGCATTGTTTTTAAGGAGAGCAAATTCGCTGTTGGAGAGCTTGTCAGATTTGCTTTATTCTCTTTCTTCCCCCAAGAACTCTTTGGAAAGAGCATGCCTCCCCTCACTTTTCTGGCTGGGTTATGGAGCAAACTATAATCTACACAGCACTCAGGCGCTCCATACTACTGTACTCATTAACCACATATAAACTCCACAGTTCCTGTTGACTATATTTCACATGCACAAGAGCGTTTTCAAACAGAAAGATGGACTAACCGCCCTAACCTTTCCAAATTAAAAGCTATACATTAACCTCAAGGCCTAGTGATACGTGACTTCAGTTCAACCTGACAGAGGGTGAGAGGGGGAGCGAGGAAGGAGGTCAGAGGATCATCACTGTCCGTCATGCACTAAGCAGCTGCAGATAACCCTGATGAAGAGCTGCCAACGTCCGCCATCGCAGTGGATCAGATCACATGAGCAGAGCGCAGTGGTCAGGTAAAACCTTTTACTGCTGCCAAAATAAGAAGGAATGATCTGCAGAGCAGAGAACCACACGGAGTCTTGCTAACACACACCACTCATCAGAAACATTGCAGAGATGCATGTATGCAATCACATGCCTGTAGTCTATTTTTGTGCAGCTACTTAAGCTCCTGTTTATAGAATGAAATAAGCCTGCACTGTATTTAAAATGACTACCAATTTAAGAAGAATATCTTTGTTCTCTTTTGTGTGACACAAACTTAATATACAGCACAAGTGGAATCTCATCCGGGCATCACACAGTTGAACCAGTGTTCATGAAAATGCCATGGTTTAGTTCATTTGCACAAGGTCAATATCACGGAGAAAGCTGTTTTTTTCTCATAGTATATATAGCTAATAAAATAGTGAAACCTAAGAACCAGTCTTTTACCAGGGGTGACCCTGAACCATTTAAAAGAGTCTGTGTTTGAGTGTTTGACCCCAACACAGTGGAAAGATCAACAGACCGGGGAGAAAATGAGAGCTGCGACTCTGACTTTGTCAGACTGAGGGTCAATGATTCACTGCTAGAATAGAAATAGTATGCAGTTTGATGTATTGTAGCAGCCAAGTATACACGGCAAAAATGTCAAGCACAAAGTACTGGTAGTGCTACCTGCAATCACTAATGGCAAATACACTAAAAGAACCATCCCTGTACATTTAATGTCAAATCTCATCAGCACCATCATGTTCAGTGGAAACGAACATCGCTCTCACCTCTTTCCATTCACGCCGACTGGCTGAAGGGTGTGTTTGTTTCTCCACAATCATTTATGTGTAATGCTTTTTGTTTTATGTCGCTTTCTGTCTCCACATCCCGGGCACTGATGTGAAAGACAAATCTCGCTGCGGGAACAATGGAGTTTATATTAAATCATGTAATATTGCAAAGTACAAGAAAGGGCACGTCATTTCTGTTTGCCTGCACATGAAAAGTGGTAAAACAAGGGCTGTGTGAGACTTTTCCTGATATGAAACACTTTGATCAGGTACCTAATGAGCTGCCGTTGACATGGCTTTGAGAGAAAACGTTCATGTTGCTTAAAGTGTCCGATGATATTTCCAAGAAAGAACATTTGTGCTTTTCTAGGATATCGGCTAATCTAGAAAGGGTTGTCCTTTCTTTTCTTTGACAGGAGAAGAAAATGTTTTTCAGGATTATTCATTCTATAAATGAAGCCTGTGGATGGTAAATCTGTTTTAGTAATGTTATTTCATTTGTGTGAATAAAAGCAATAGAGACCACACAAGAATGGACATGCACATCTTAGACACTACGAGGGTGGGTAGAGCTTTAGTAACACACACACACACACACACACACACACACACACACACACACACACACACACACACACACACACACACACACACACACACACACACGTGTGTGTATCTACTATTTTAGTCATCTTAAGTGCCAAAATGAGTTTTGCTGCCTCTGGGTAGGTGTTGAGACAATCAAGCCATGCAGGGATTAAAAAAGATTAATACACAGCGCAGGAAATTAAACTTCAGTGACTTTAACGATATTCATGAGTGGAGCTCACTTATTCACTTCAGGCAGGCACTTTAATAAGCAAAGAATACAGTAAGGAACCCAAACACTATCAATCAATCAAAATGATATGCAATTTGAGTTGCAAATTGATAAAATGCCAGGCTTCTCTTAGCGTATTACTTTTGTTAATACGATGCTATGTTCCTCACTTTCTGACAGTTGGCGGCATAAATGATTACAGCAGATCAGATTTTACTTTCGTAATTTAGGCTTTCTTAATTTTGTCAGCAAGTGAGGAAGCGAGGAAAAATGTGTGACTAACGTTTATGCAACACACGTTTTCAACCAACAAAGCACTAGTCATTTTCAAGATTATACTGATGACTTTTGCCTTTGTTAGACAGGTGATTGTAGAGAGGAAACATGGTGAAAGTGAGAGGAATGAAAAGTGTGTAAAGTCTTGAGACTGCAGCAGGACACTTAAAGTTCCAATGTCACAGGAAAACAAAAGATCTAACACCAAGCCAGGAAATAAAGAGGCAAAACAAGAGCTACAAACTCCAAAAGGTAATTCAGTGACCTAGATATTAAAGCTTTTCTGCCATTTCGTTCTCCCCTGCCTTGTCCAACCATCATGTTGAGTTAAGGCAAGCATTATGCTGGGAAGACTATTTGTTTAGGTGAGGAGCAGCCGCAGAGCTAATATGAGCACAATTTGCTCAGCAGGTCAGAGGCGCAGAGTGGAGGAAGTAAATGAGGCAGTTCTGCCCCCTTGGGTGCAGCCCCTGCCTCATACATCACTGGATGTTTTATTCAATACAGCCAGGAAGGCAGGTGCCCTGACTGTGGGGGCGCCTGCCCTGCTGTAGGGGCCCATATTACATTCAGGGAGCTGCCTGTCTGTGGGGCTGCTGGAGAGAGAACGACTGGAGGTGGTGAGGAAGATCAATTTTGAGGACGCTTGTAGTCTAATGATAAAACATACTGTGTGCAGCTTTTTCACTGCACAGTCAGCATACGGTGCAGGCTCGTTTAGGTGCTGTGTGAGCGATGATGCTAAATGCTGCAAAGCAACCTCAGCATCCCAGAAGGTTCAAAGTTCACAGGTTACTTTAACTTTATCAGCCAACATTCATATTCAAACAGAAGATGAACTTCAGTTACACTCGGGGTAATCTATTTGCATTGGAGGCTTGGGCTGCAGAGGACACATTTGCTAAAGAATTCACAGGACAATGACAAATTGCCTCCAGACCTCAATGCAGCACAGAGCATCATCCATGTCGCCGAGCACAAAGTGAAAAGTTTTACAGCGTTACGCACACATCTCCATGAATTTTATGAGTTCCTTGATAAAAGCCACTCACAATATGCAGGCAGGCCATAAAAAGAGAGTGTATATCATTAACATACCAGGGTGAAAAATCACTAATTGCAGTACACTAGTCACCCTCCCCACACGCAGTGACGCACGGGGGCGTGCAGATGAGAAATTCGCACCTTTTGCTCTGAGTCGCAACTCCTCTAGTGCCACATATTCCTGCCTGTGGTGCCTGCGGTGCAATACCCTCGACAATACACTTAATTGCTACCCATACTTGAAAAGACCAATATTACACATCAAAGCAGCTCCTAAAGCCATTCGGGAGCGGCTCTCTAACAAGTCGATTTTTACAACACTTCCTTTACTATTGTGGGTCACGCATGGAAACAAAGGGTTTAAATCTGAGGCATCGTTATATGAGCAGCATCCTGGGAAAATGGAGCATTTACAAACATCATTATTTTCTGCTGTTCCTCTATTTACCATCCCGAAAGGCTTCAGCGAGGCTCTGACGGAAACTACGTTAATGGTTTGAAAGGATGACCCGAAACATTCAAAATCTGCAAGACTTAGAAAGACAGAAATTTAAAAATATATTTACCATAAATTGCTCCGTAGTGCAGACTAGAACTCCATGCAGATTGTAGCATTCACTGATCAATCTGCCAATACTTCTGTGGTCCAAATTAAAAAGGATTCATTCTGTTCTCCAAAATCCAGCAGCCGCTTTGTCGATGTCAAATGCTGATTAAGTTTATCCTCTTCCGATGGAATGCAAATATACCGGCAACCCTGCGAATTAGATTCCACACTCTAGCTTCTAGCATGCAAAGTTAATAAGCTTTGCCTTTTTTCTCGACTCGGCTGCCAATTTTTGTCGAGGGCAAAAGCGCAGGTCGGCAATTTCAGGAGCGTCCTCGGCAGGATTGCGCACAGAGTGCGCTTCGGGTTTTCAACGTTTAGCCTCCGGAACAAAGTAAAAGGTCCAGGTTGCTCCTCTTTTAGCTTGTAGATATTTCCAAATAACAGAGCTGTTAGTCGAAAGACTGGATGGTTGAACTACTACGCAGTACTCCAAAATCCTCCGCTGTTACGCATGGGTTTAAAGTGGTCCGCCTGCTCACTATAGACGACCTTATGTGAAATGTAACATGCAAATGTTATTAATATTACCTAGGCAATATTGTGTGAAGGTACCCTGAAAGAAATCAAGGCTGGGTCAAAGCAGCTGCCTGAAATATCCTAAACTGATGCGATGCGATGTAAAAATCCCGGTGATCAGGCTCTGCTCCGTCCGTCACTTTCTCCGTGGTGTCGGCAGCCTCTCTGAGATGTCTTGCCTCCCGATTCAGACTCAGATTTCCAGCTGAGGCTGTGGAGTGACCTCGATAGCAAAGCTCCGAGATGCTCTCTTTGGTGTATTAACCAAATAAGAAACGGTTAAGTGTGAATAAAGAGCTAGCTGCTTCAGGCAGCTCCGGGATGCAGTCCTGCCCTTGTGCCGAGCTGCCGAGACTGACAATAACCCGGAACGCTGCAGACTGTCAGGCTGCACAGACCGCCCACCGACCAATCACTGTACCGAGGGAACAGAAACATTCCCACGGGTTGGCCAATCATCGGTAATTGAGGACTGTTACCATAGAGATGCTCGGCGTCCAAGCGTCTGAAACCACGTTGTTTATTCGCGGAAAAAAAAAACAAAAAAAACTCAGACATAAATTGCCGTGGCAGAATGCAGATTGAGATCTTTAATCATTCTTTTATCCTTAACAGCGTTTCAGCCTTTTTTCCCAGCAGCCTTGTTAAAGGTTAAAGACACCATCCTTTAATGGGACGACCTGGGCTCAAACCTGCAGGCAGAGAAGTGCCCTTGAGCAACACATTGAATCACTTCGAGCTGCAAGAATGCTGCTCTGCAGCTGGTCTGCAGGGATAAATAAAGTATTATTATGCAACCTGAATAAAATTAAATGTGATTAGCATGCTAAATGAAGCTACTGTTTATGAATTGGTAACTTGAAAATGCCATTTAACTTAATTGTTTTGAAACTCCTGTAGGACAAATTTTCCATACAGATAATAAACATCTTATAATATGAAGAGTCTGGCAACTGTGTGATCATCAAGGAGCAACCTCAGAGACACGAACTTTATTGTGTTCTATAAGCGTTTATTTTTATGGATGCAATGTTCTTGCAGCAGCACTTATAACATGCATAGGGTCGCTCACACACATACAGTGTGTAGGTCTCCTGACTACCTCCAATGTTAAATTACCTAAATATATTTCAGCAAGAGGATCTTTTAGGAAGTATGACATTTCTGTGGCTACTTACCTTTGCAGAATTCCATCACCAGCTTACATGAGTCACAGGAAACCTTGCAAAACACCTGTTTTTGCTAAATGTCATTACAACAGTGAGGAAGCGGAGGGTTTACTATGACAGAGGCCCTTTAGTATTCTTCTTCTACGTCTTGCCAATTGTGTCCGGTGCACACAGACCCTGGGACACACAAAGGCAGTACAAGCAATCACACATCATGGACTCTCATAATAAGCTGACGCTGGGAAGTGGGTGATGCAGCACTCAGCTTATGCCAGTGCTGATAAGAGCCTGAAAGTATTACCTCGGTCTGGCAGCCTGCTCCAAGAAATCCATCCTGAGCCAGGTCATCAATTCTGCCCTATCTGATTGCTCACCAATCCCTGGCAGCTCCATGTCGCTGTCCTGGCTTCTGCCTTTGAAATACTCTCTATGACTTGCACTTTCATGCTAGTTCTTTCACAGAAAAATAGTTACATACTGTATGTACATGTAGGTGCTTTTATGCGGTCTTACACCTACATGACAGATAGTAAAACAGTGAACAGCGGCTCTCAGAGAGGTAAAAATTACCAGAGCATTGGAGCGCTTGGCTTAGTCAATCCTTTAAATGTATTAGCTCCAATCACATCTCCGCCTCACTGCTGCAGTGGACCTATAGAGCATACATTAAAGCCTGTGGAGTTCAATCATATCACCTACGCCATGTGGCTGCATAGTCAATCAAACAGATGAACAATTAATTGAAAAATACTCAACCAGAGCTCTGTTGTGCTCCTGTGAGGCAGGCAGGCAGGCAAATAAGCCATTTGATTAGCTGATAAGCAGATGACTCAACAAACATTCAAGGCATGTTTACTGTGGTTTGATTAGAGTACGCCCAATACGCAGAAGATTGGACACAAATACGTTGTGAAAACACTCAGCTGTTCCAATCCCCAAGGCAGCATGAGGGCACATAAAAACAATGAATTATTTATGGGGGAGACTAGCGAAATATCACAGTGGATAATTTTCTGTCGGCTATATTAAATGTAGTTTTCAAAATAATATGTCTGAGTCTGTGCATTTCCCAGGAATCATTCCCAATGACAGGATATAGAGCCTGGAGATTGGATATGAAATCATATTAGATATTTCCCTGCCAAGAAACCTATGAGCGTTTAACTGAAACACCAAAGCAAGGGTTATTCACATGCTAATTGGGTCTCCTTCTTTCTTAGTAAATATGATCAAAGGATATTTGCTTTGTCTCTGTTTAAGGTATTAGCTCTGGTTCAAAATGAAAGACCTCACTATCAAGGCAAGCTTTTGGCATGCCTCATCCGAGAGAGGGTTCACAATACCAATAAATCCAGGTTTGGCTTCAGTAAAAACCACTGCAGCTTCTGTTTGAATCGGGTATCTCATAAATAAAGCTCTTGTACGCCCCATCCAGATCTAACATTAGTGACTGTCTCCGAGCTGAAAGCCTTACGCTGTTACAATTTGTTCCTGAAAGTGGACTCAGTTTAATTGAGCAAAGTTTAAGTCTCCACAAACAGCAAAGTAACAGAAAAAAAAATCGATGGCAGCAGAGGCATGGAAAAAAGAGATAGCATTGATTTATCTGCCATTGATTCGTGAGGATCGCTGCATTGTGCCCTCCGGGTGAAATGCACGCTGTCTGCCAACTGATGGGGATGAATCTGAAAAGGTGTCAAGTGGTTAGAGGACACAGAGGTGGAGGATGAGATCAGGGGCAGCCAGAGGTGGCAGGGGAGGAAGAGTAGACTGAGAGTGGGAGCGAGGGCATGAAGTATCAAACGGAGTGAAGGCGGTAGACGAAAGGCTTGATAAGAGAGGATAATGTTGCAAGGATGACACCAGCACTACGCGGGGTTGAGTCTCCATAGTGTTGCGTTAAATGTCTTTGACAGAAGCGAGAAGAGATCAGCATGAAAGCAAAGAGCTTAGTGAAAGAGCAAAAGGCCTGAAGCTAAAACCATCATATGAACCAAGACACCAGTTAAAACCAAGACTTCTCTGTCCTGTTGACAATATCAACATTTTAAATGAAAAGACCTCAGCTGATCCCTATTTTAACTGTTGTAAGCACAACAGTAGACCATCATCGGTTTATTCAGTGTGAAGTCAAAGGCTGTTGGCTACAATAACACCGTGTGAGTAAGCATATATCAAATCCCACTGTTGCAAGTGCTTGACAAAGCCAAGCATCTTTTGCAATATTTTAAGTCTCAGCAATTGGCAAATAGATGTCTCCCCAGAAACTTTACACTGACAGCCAAATGTTGTTGAGGAGAGGGGAAGCCAGGACAGAGATCAGAGGGCAATCCAGCCGCACAGACCCAGACGAAGAGGTGTTACTCCCTGAACTTTGGTATCTTTACAACATCTGTCTCCTCTCTGGCTGCTGGCAATCACATGTCCACAATGAAACTGAAGGAGACCTACATGTTTGTGCTACTGTGGTGGAGAAACCAAGTATTTGGTTGATAAAATAGTAAGAAAGATTTTCCCTATGGCCTTGCTATTGTGAAGAAAGTGAAATTTCACCCATTTAGTCTAGGTTTGGACTTTTCTTTTGTGTGTGTGTTTTTTCTTCTTTAATTTAACTTTGTCAAGTTCTCGGTATCAGTGTTTTGTGTTCAAGGTATAATAAAAAATGTAGTGACTGTCACTTGTTTATGTATAAAAAAGGACAAGGTGTTCCTGAACAGTTGGTTGAGAGTGACTGTGCTTTGCAACCTTGTTTTGTATTCAAGGTGGAGTTTAAGTGAAGCTGACTTGACTTGACACAAAGATTGTCACTTGTTTATGTCTTGGAAGGCTGTTTTCTTGAGCAGTGTTTTGGTTCAACCCTGGAAAGCATCTGGTTTCCTGTGTGCGACCAGTCAGAGATGTCTTCATGAGACACACATGAGTACACACAGGAAGCTGTTTGCAGACAGGTTGAGTTGAGGTTATGTGTGGTGCCCCGAATGTGTGGGATGACTGTGCTTTTGGGGGGGGATTTGTTATTTGCTATTCACGGGCCCAAAGTTCAATAAAAAAAGCAAAAAAAAACAGCTAAATCAAATTACAGCAGTAGCGTGAGGGTGTGAAAAGCAGAAACTGAACGAGAAATGAGAAATGACAATGTTCATTTGCGCATTTATATTATAATGTCTTTCGACAAAACACACAGATGATCAGAGATGAAATGTTGTTCATTTCACATTGTCAGGTCTTAACACGTCTCCATTAAATAGAAGCATAAAAGTGCTTGAGTGTGGGAAGGTCAGGCACAGCATGACCACTGTCACACCTGTTAAACCTGATGGCAGCTCTTCCTCCTCATAAAAACTGAAAAAAACATGAGAGGAGGCACCTGAACTATTTGAATTTGTTATATCTAAGGTAAAACGTTATGTTTCAGTAATTGTAAAGCTTTGAAGCAGAAGTTCTTACATCTAGCTGTCACTACCCTGCAAGAAAATAAAACCCTTTTTAACACCTTTCATGGCGTTTGTCAGCACCTTTGTGCGAGCTGCAGCTCCCAGCAGCACATTAAAAAAAGGCACATTTACCCATATTCTTTTATTTATTAAGTAATACAAATGTGCGAAAGATGAATCATATTTTACACCAAGTTAAATATTTTGCACCTTAATATCAAAATAAAAAAATATCAGCATCCAACAAAAGCTGAAGTACTAAACAACTTGGCTGATGCTGCTGTTTATCAAGGAAGCCTTCATGTGACCACACACATATGAATTGTATATTTATGCGGTTGTTTTTCTCCTAACAGCAGCTGGTTAAGGCAGGTCTGCCAAGAACACAGCTATACTTCCTGTTGTTTGAGAGCTTCACGTGTTCTATCTCCCCTCTCTCCATACAATGCAGGGTCAGCTTAGCACTGGTGTCTGTGACAGGTGACGGGCCGCTTTGTTTTAGTTAAAGAGATGTCACTGAGAGAACAGCTAAACCACAGGCTATATAATCAACGTGGGTAAAACAACGCAAAGAAAGTCCATTTTAAATCAGATTTCTATCCCTACTTGTTCCTCTCTGCTCAGTGATGAAGGATTGTGATGATCTCTGCTCTAATTAGATACCTTAATCTTCTGAATATGTGACTGTAATTTCAATAGAAGTTGATTAAAGTCCTTCACTAT